CTAGCCAGGTACGCTGGGAAGCTGGGAAGGAGGTAAATCAGGCTGATGTCCCAGAGGGAAGCCACTCAAGCTGGAGTTGATTTGGGTGGGTTTGTTCTGCAGGAAAGTGGGGACAGGGCAGAGTGGGTCATTGCTACAGGGTGGAGGCAGAAAAGGGGGAAGCATACAGAGGAAAAGGCAAAGAAGCACTAGGAAAATAAAGGAAATGTCTATGTTCTAGCTCAGAGGACATTTAACTCAATGCTGATATAGGGACAGGCAGGGCTTCACTAGCAAAAAGGCACACAGGGCTCGGAAATTGATTCAGGACAAGGTGTACAGCAGCAATCTGCTTCTTTCAGCACTTTTTCTTTAAATATCCTCGAATTCACCAAACAGAAGATATATTACACTTTCTAATATAAGCCTCCTGAGGGGATGCTGCTAAAAGGCTGTCAGCAGAAAGGGGAAAAAAAAAGTGTTCAAAGTGTGCAAGTAGGGGTTAGGGACTCCACATTTCAACCGATCTGCAGCTGGGGACGAGATGCATTTGCATTTGTTCCCCGGGCAGAAGACCTCACATTCATTACAAAAGCTATTTCAAAATAGTTCTATCTACTTAAAAAAATAATAATAAAAATAATAATAAAAAATAAAATATAAAAAAATATATAATCCAAACAAAACGAAAGATGTAGCTAAGCATCAAACAATCTTACCTACCTCCCAAAAGATCTGTAGATATTCCCTTTGGTTTTATTTGGTTTTGAGTCGGGCCCTCAAATAAAGGCCAGAATTTACATAATTACTGTAGTGCTGAAGGGCTTCATGCACCGGAGCCCCCTTTGCACCAAATGTTGAAAATAGAAACAAGAATAAACTGTCCCAGAAAGCTTTCTTGTCATGGTTTCAGCATCCCACTACTCTGCAAACAAATGACTTTCCTTTATGGTTACTGTTATTTCCCTGGCATTTAATTGCAGGGATTTTCTTTGGAGAAATTAAGATAGACACAAGAAACATCTTTGTGGTCCAAAGCACTGATGACTATGTTTCAGCATTTTATAAAGCAGTTAGGATTTACTGGTGATTATTGTGTTCATATTCTTAGATTCCATAAGCAGGTATTTGTGGCAGCATAAGCCATTATCACTCCTCTGAGTCTTTCTTTCTGCCTTTACATTTGGGCACACATCTCAACCATTGGTGCTCGGAGTCCAGGGTACTTGAGCAAACTCACTTCCTTGTGCAGGACAAGGTCCCATGCCAAATTACGAAGTGGAGTGGGTAAATTACACACACCAGTGCCATGGGGCCAGTAACACCCAGGGGTGGGTGGGATGGCTGAATCTGTCAGCTTGTCTGAGGGACCACAACACCCTTTCCCTCTATGTGTTCCCTGTGACCATTTGAAGTATTATTATTATTATTAATTTGAGTGAAGCTCAGATTTGCCAACATAGACCCTGATACTTCAGCCATCTTTCCACGTGTTAATCTTTCCTACTTTGAGTAGTCATAAATAGGATGGAAAAGTTACACACTCGGATGCCTGCTTGCAGAATTAGGCCACAGGCTTAGTTACCAGGTTAATAAATTCACAGCCAAGCAAAAGCTTGAATAGATTTGCTTCCAGACTAAGCAAGACTGGTTTTTGGTTGGTGGTTTCTGAGTAAAGGCTTTCTTAAGACAGCTGCAGAGTTAAAAATGAAATTGTGAAAAGCCACAAAAATACAAAAGGTCTCAATGTGTTGGGGCTCTTTTGTTTGCTTGTTTCTCCTTTTATAAAAAATATGCAGTCCTTATTGACTTGTTATAGGAAAGGTATCTGCTACTGTTGCTACAGTTATAAAAAGGAAAAGGGAATTACAACCCATAGTAAGATCTCCATGTAAAAATATCTTACTTGCTAAAGGGAGAGAAGTAAAGAATTTTACATATATTTGCTTTTGTTTATCTCTGCCTCCAGCTAACACTGAAAGTGTAGCTCTATAGAGCTACAGCCTTAAAGGAAAAAAAAAAAGGACAAAATGTGCTCAAACAGCACCTCCATGAGATCACACAGCAGAAAAATAATCCTCACTTATAATCTAAATACATGGGAGGATGGAAATAACGTTTTATGGAAAACTATCGCACTGGAATTTAAGGAAAGTTCTGTAGTGTGGAAAACAAACAGATTTTAATAGGCTGCTGCTTAAAGTGATTGCATTTATTTCCAAGAAGGTCATGCTCATAAAGTGGAAAACTAACACTTCCTTCAGAGCCGTGGCAAAAAGGGAAGAGAAAATAGCTACACTATAAAGTTATCTTTGATCTCCTAGAGGAAGGGGCAGGATGTTGTAGGGTTTTTTTTCTTATTGTTTTGTGATTAAATAAAGACACCTTCTTTATATTTTTCTTTTCTCACTCAATAAATTTTATACAGAAACCTTTAAACAGAAAAAGTCACAGCAGTAATGTATTACTAATAATTTATCAGTGTTTTCACCTATGACAATTAGGGAAATAAAAACATGCCTAAATACTTCATTTTCATGTCCCAAGCACCTGACTGCTCCACTCACTCCTTTCCTGTAGTCACTAAACCAGTAGCCTGCAACAGACAAGACTTCAAATATAAATTTAGGCTTTTTTCTCTGTCAGTTTAAATAGCTTTCCCTTTCCTTGTGAAATTTCCTGCCTGCGTAGCCAGATCAGAAAACGACACCAGTCTCTTTTCAGCATATTTCTTGCCAAATCTGAGCAGAGACTGATGCTCTGAGCTCCAAGAACCAAAGCAGGATATGATAGAAAAACTGCTCCCGAAATCCAGCTCCTGAACCATTCGTGGAAGGAGTAACACACCTCCTTGCCTTTGTTGTTACCATATTTTGAACAGCAACATCATTCAGATTCTTCTCAGTTCTGAGAGACTGGTCTAAGCGAATATCCCTCTACCTTTTTCAATTTGCAAGGCCCCTGAGCACTGTCCAGTGGCGATGTAGACCTCAGAAAGCAAACTGAAGCTAAATGAAACAGGCTTGCCTTTCTTCACCAGCCCTCATGGTTCACACAAGTAAGGAAAAACATGGTCTGGGTAAAAGAAGAGAAGAAGGGAAGTCACATAATGTTGCACAGAGTGTTTCCCACAGCTGAGCACGTAGGAAGCTCGGCTGGCTACCAGGGGCCTGAGCAGATGATGATATCCCATGGTCCTGTTACCAAACCCTCACATGGCCTCCAGAGTCAAAACCTTAGAGAGCAACTTGAATAAGACAGCAATCTAGTTTCCTACCGACACTCAGCCTCTGTCAAGACTCAATTTAAAAGTTAATTAGCAGGCATTAACTGCTGTAAGAAGCACATACAAGCCATTTTGCTCTGGCCTGGATTAACTAGAAACGTGGACTTCTTTCTGTATACTGGGAGGCACTAGGCAGAAAATATTGGGCATCTTTTTCTGTACGAGTCCACGCAGTATAGAAACACAGCAATTGAGGGCATTCGATACAAGAGATACACACGCCATCCTGTGGTTAGCAACCTTTGCTCCCAAACTGAGATGATTTTTCAGAATTTCACATCCAGTTAGGTCCCTTCCTTTTCCCAAATCATTTTATCACGTCTCAATAAGCTGGAGCCTTCCCCAAGCTGGAACACCTCTCGTTTCAGCAGGTCTCACCTGTCAAAGTCCTTCAGGATGTAGCCACCTCACACAGCTGAAAACCCCCTCCATTTGGACTCGTTTGTGTCTCTGTCATGGCAATGCAGCCTTTCCTATCTCAGGCTAAGCACACGATAATATTGTTACTGTCTCCTGGCCAACAATATCATTCCTTTGCCTTCTGAAACCTGACCCTACAAATAGAAAGATGAGTTCTGGCCAACCTGTGGTCCCTCGCCCAGCTTTGGGAACTCCCAAAGAAATTAATTACCTGTCTGATGATGCCACTGGAAGTCTCTTCCTTGGCGGGGACTTTCAAAGGAGATGTCACCCTCGGAAAGTTCATGCTAGCAGACTAAATGATAAAGAATCAGAAAACTGTTCTTCAGAAAACTTTCAGCCCTCGGTAGGTGGTGCTAGAGCCCTTCAAACTACCCAGGAGCAAGACAGCCTCTTTCCAGTGCAGTTTTTGTGGATTAGGATTATCGATGTCACCTCACTGTTCATGAATAAACAAATAAATCAGTGCTAAATACCTACATAGTTAGGGTGGCATTTAAAGCCAGCAGCTCCCATCTCGCTTCACGCAGACACCACTGTACCTTGTCCTGAACAGAAGAAACCAGTGATAGTACCAGAACTACAAAATAATTGTGTTGCCATAGCTATAAACAAGGCAGGAGCACAAACGTTCAATCCATTCCACGTCATATTCTAAAACCCTGTGAGCACTCCCATTAAACATCCAAATAAACGCTTGAAGAAAATAGTTGTATTGATGCTGTTCAAGGGGATGAGTTGAAACTGTTGAAGCTGAACATGTCTGTGAGAGAGACAATTTCCATACACGCTGTGAATGGCACCAGGCCTTAGCAGAAGTACTGTCTCAAACCCTGGGACTTGAATCATGTGTGGAGTGGCCCAGCTCTGCTGTATGGAGGATGGAAACTTGTACAGGAGAGTACAGCTCTACTGTACAAAGACAGAGGGCAATAGGTGAATTTTCAGTGTTTCTAGGGAGCAGATTACCTTCCTGCCATTTTATTCCTTGAAAATGAAGTAAAACAGAAACTGATTCCACTGTGAGTATGGCCTGATCTACTAAAAACACACTAGTTTAAAGGAAGTTCTCAACAATTTTACCCAACTCCCACTCTTCTGTGGAATGCGTTTCACACAGCTTACACAAAGCTGTAACTGACAAGTCCAAAAGAGCTCTCCTTGGTTTACTCAATCAGTTAAAGCCGTCTGAATTTTGAAGCCCTCTCACCTCAATCAGATCTTCTCAAAGCTCTGGTGCTTGAAAGGAGATAAAAAGAATCTTTTCAGATGAAATTGTAGAGCCACGATGCAAGAAATAGTAAACAGACACATATTTAGTCAAGGAGCTATAAGCTAGTTTTATTTGTAAAATACTTTTCTGAAGAGCAAAATACTGTAATTTTATTATATAAAAGTTAGCAAAATTTGATACATTTCTAACAGAAACAAGAAAACTATTTCTACTTTTATTCAATTATTCAACTCTCTTTCAGTATGGAAGCTAGAGGTATGCACCACACTAACAGATTTCAGTGCCAGACAGCTCGTTCAATAAATATATCATTCTACCATTAAAATCTGTGAATGACAGTGAAAAAGTTTCATATAGCTACTGAAAAAATATAAGCATTTTTGTATTTTTTTTTCTGAGGTTTGGAACTAGTAATATCTACACACAATATAAAATTCTTGGCATTTACAAGAAAGATTGTATATAACAGTAACAGCAGAATTTGTTAACAAAGTTCTTATGTTACTGACAAACAGCAGTACAATGTCTCTATTTAAAAAAAAAAAAAAAAAAAAAAAAGAAAGATAACTTCAGCCTATTTCTTAAGTCCTACAGAAGATGTCTGCCAGGAGCTGGCAATGGAAACGTACTAATTCCATATTTGATAAGGCCATTGCATATCCTAACTTGCAATAAAAGCTGATCCTATACTGTATAATATAATATAAACTGCCTGTTTGTTATGAATAAAAGGCAAAATGAGAACCAATATCCTATTTTATCCTATTGCTCACAAAAGAAACAACAACAAGAGACATGGAGCCTTTGCCTTGGAGTGGACAGGTCTAATTAAATCTTGCTCTGCTATGTACACAGGCATAAATTTGGAAGCCAAAGTTTCAGAGGTGAAACTGGTTCCTTGTGTCAGCTATTTTCTATGAAAAAGTTGGATGTGTGAGACTAAGCTCAGAGATTATGCAGATGGTAAGGCAAATTTATGCAGCAGTTATCCAACGTGAGAGGGCTGTGTAACTAAAGCTGAAAAGACAAGTAGTGGAAAGGCATTGTATCGGGTTTCTGTGGCAAGGGTTTGGTAGCATGGTGGCCGCAGCGGTGGCCTCTGTGAGCACAGACAAGGAGCTGCCCCATGTCAGACAGAGCCAGCTCCAGCTGGCTCCAAAAGGGACCCGCTGCTGGTCAAAGCTAAGGCTGTGATAACACGGTTAAGAAAAAAAAAAAAGTAAAATATGCTGTGTGGAATCTGTGATAGGAGTGCGAAATGTGAGAGAAGCAACCCTGCAGATAACATGGTCAGAAAAGGAGGGAGAGGAGGTGCTCCAGGTGCTAGCACAGCTATCCGTGCTGCAGCCCCTGGAGAAGCCCCCAGTGGAGCAGGTGGATGTGGCCTGAAGGAGGCTGCGGCCCATGGAGAGCCCCATGCTGGAGCAGTTTGTGGAGGACGGCATCCCATGGGAGGGACCCCACGGGGAGCAGGGGCAGGGAGGGACCGTGAAGGAATGGCGGAGACAAAGCGTCAGGGATTGACCACAGCCCCCATTCCCCATTCACCTGCACCACTCAGGGGAAGGAGGTAGAAGAATAAAGACTTAAGTTGAGCCTATGAAGAAGGAAGAAGAGGAGGAAGGAGAAAGATGGTTTCAGTTTTGTCTTGGTTTCTCACTACCCTACTCTATTTTTAATTGACAATAGATTAAAATAGTCTTCCCAAATCAAGTCTGCTTTGCTCATGACAGTGAGTGTCCTTCCTGACCTTACCTTGACCCTTCATTTTATTTTCTCTCCCTGTCCTGTTGAGGATGGGGAGTGAAAGAGCAGCTTGGCAGGCACCCGGCAGCCAGCCAGTGATAACCTACCACATTCTGAATACTGAATATACCCACCACATACCAAATATTTCCTCATTTGAAAAAAAAAGAAGAAAACAAAACAAGTCATTACCTTCTGTACAGTTACTGCTGCTGAATTTCAACTTAAATTATGAAACAGATGTAAAATTGGATACATATGTAGTCATCTGTTTCTATTTATGTATTTTTAGGATTCCCACACCCCAGTAATTTTCAAAATGAGATTTTTATTATTATTATCTTAATAATTCAATCCACTAATAAATCTTAGTGTTGTGTGGAAATGCAAGCAAGGGCAGGAGTAATCACTGCACATCTTTCAGAGTTAAGTTAACAAGGACAGGATGACAAGTCTTCAGAACAGCAGCCTAACCAGACAGCAAAGCAAATATGCCTGGCTTTGTAGACCAGGAGCCACACGCCTGAATATTAAAAGCTCTGACTGTGAGTTTGAGAAAGGTGCACCACTGATGCTAGTCATCTCTGGCTGCATACAAACAGCATGCAGCATGTGTCCATACAGTCTCAACTGAAGGACCATCACTTGAAGCTGATGGCAAATATTCTTTCTTAAATCTGAATCAGGATCCAAATCCTCTAGATGGCTCGATGAAAGCTGCAGCCCATTTGCACCTTGTGGACATCAGACAGGATGAGACGTGCCACTGAACCACTATGTCCCTGAAGAAGTGCTTTCTTCCATTTTCTTCATGAAAAAACAGAATCAAGTGCTGGGCTGTTTGTTCTGGATGCTGTTTTTGTACAGCAACATCAGAATGAAGAAAAAATTACCAACTGTACTTACAATGTTGTCTGTCTCTTTCCTTATCCTGTAACAAAGACTGTTGCTATAGGAAGAGGAAAAAGAGAGAGATAACAAATGAGCTAGATGCAATAAAAATGTGTTTTCCTTTCTGCGTTAGGTATATTTGCATAATATATCCAACTGCCAAAGCAAATTTCCCTCCTCACACATAAGGAGACAGTCTAGCTGACTATGAATCTTCCTCCACGGAGGGCCATTCTTTCCTCTCCACATTTCTCTGTCTGCTTCTGCTGCCTTGATGTGCAATCCATCTTTTGTAATCAAATTAATCTTTCATTGTCATTTAATCATGAAAAGAAAGTGCTTTCAGGGGACAGCACATTACAGCCGCTACAGGAAATGGTGGAATTCATCTCTGAGGAGCGCCAATGCTACTTCTACGAAGACTTTAGGGTTCCTAAGTCTACTGCCAACTTTGGTCTCGTGAAATATGATATTTAGTGCTGCTGCCTACGTGGGATTTATCAAAACCTGCTAAATGAAGATTTGAGTTGGCTGTTAAGAGATCTTCAGTCTGCAAGATTGATAGTGTCACTTCCACATGGCTTTACAGAAGTAGGACTCTGTGGGGGACTCTTTTCACTTGATGGTGGCCTTGCCAAGATTCTCCGGTTGATTCCAGCTGTAGCCTTTTTATGGTCGTGTCTGAGACTGCGGATTGTGCTGTTTATGGCAGCCACGCATGCCTTCCAATCATATCCAGTTTCCTTTAGATCAAAGGATGGGTAGTTCTCTTGAAGAAAGTCTAAAAATAAACACGAGTGAATTATCGATCATTTATGCAATTTTATTTTCGGATTTAGTTCAGTCAAAACAAGTGCATGCTACCAAAACAAGACTCCATAGGCATGAGGCTTGCAGAGCAAAATTAGAAGGTAGATATTTTCCCCTTCTGTTTGAGATATGTAAGAATGACAAAAGATCTAAGAAAGACAAGAGCAGAGAGAGAAACCTGTGCTCTAGCAGTTTACTCTACTCTGAGTGGCTTGGAAAAAAAAATAAAGAAAGAGTGAAAGAAGAGAGGAGAATACTCCTGAGGTATAGTGACAAAGGATACAGCAGCTGTTGGCAGAGGCAACAGCCAGGGTCCCTTCACCTCCATCCCTGACAGCGTGTCTGGCCTCAGAGCTACAGCACAGAAGACAAATTCCTACTACCAGGCCTTTGTAGATGGCCCACAGATCAGCTTTTTAATAATGCTTTTTCTTTCACAGAGAAGGACTAATTGTTGAGAATATAGCAAAGCTAAGCGGGTCCCCTTCCTGCCCTGCAGTGTTGCATTCAGGGAGCTGATGTGACCATCCCATCAGGCTATGTTGTAATGTTAAAGAAAACTGGGCCATGGACTGCCCTCTGGCCTGAAAGCCAAGGGACATGGCCTGGCTGCAAGCACAGAGCAGAGAACTTTGCCTTGCATCTGCTGTGGAGCCCATCTGGTGTACCTGCAGCCTTCAGACACCCCTAATATATCTTCTGAATGCTTGAAATCAAAATGACATGAAACAAAACGTGTGTACTACGGATGTGTGTGGAGATGCTTAGAGCGGCAAGCTTTCTCAGGCCAGCGGTGGAAGAAAAAACAGTTCGGGAAAAATTACTTTCGTGTATAGTCTTGCCATAATGGGAATGGTTTCTGGTGTGCTCTGTCCCTCAAGCCATGCCCAAACATCATCCCAGAGCGTGCAAGTCCCAATACCATTTTATTCAGCAATATTGCTGTGATCTCAGAGGTGAACTCACTGCACGCCTACTAACAGCCGCAGATCAAATAGCAAACAAAAACATGTTATCTTCCACTCAGTGCTGCTGTTTATGCTGGCCATGCTAAATTCTTACCAGATAATGCCAACTTTTCTTCTGCGTAATAAACCACAGGTACCCTTTCCAGCTACAACCTGCTCCACACTCCTCCTCGCCTGCTGTTGAACTGTTATTCTAACTCCACCACCACTGTCACAGCTCTGCTTGCTTTACCCAGCCTTGCAGGAAGGACCAAGTGAAACAAACAGGGGCTCCCTTCTCGGGAAGGAGCATGGATCATTGCTGCCCAAAGAGCCTGTGGAGTTTCCCACTTTGGAGATCTCCAAAACCCACCAGGAGATGGGCCTGGGCAGCCTGCTCTGGGTGTCCCTGCTTGGGCAGGGCTTGGAGTGGGTGAGCCCAGAGGGCCCCAACAGCCTCAGCCCTGCTGTGATTCTGTTCCAGAAGTCTTAAAGCTGAACTGAGAACAATGCAGCAGGCAAAACACCTGCTACCATTCCAACCATAACATAACCTCTCTTGGCTTCTGGGATAGGATTTGCAAATAGAATAAATAATACTTATCTCCTGAAGGCATCCTGGATTCATGTAAGCTGATGAGATTGCAAAACTGTCCAAATTCATACAAAGGAATAGGTTGTTCTACATTATTTGAAAAGACACGCTTCAGTGAAGAACCATTATCCAACTAGCTCAAACTGGTCAAGTTCGAAATGCTGCCTGTTCACTTGGCAGCAGTCCCTATCCTACCTGTAATTTCTAAACCACTAAATAACTTGCTGAGACCTTTTCCCTCAATGGAGACTGTTAAGTGAGCAGGGACAGCTGACATCTGAGCCCTTAGAAGGGCAAGGTTCTTGAATCTGTTCCTTTTTGGTCACTGTCACTCAGGCTATGAGGGACCTTGGGAGGCCTCTACTCCAACCTGCTGCCCAATCCATGGCCAGCTCTGAGGTCAGGCAGCATTGCTCAGGGATTTGTCCATTGAGGCATGGAAAAAGGACAGAGATAAAAACAACTTTCACAGAGCAACCTGCTCCAGTGCTTGACTGTCCTCATGGGCAAAATGCTTCTGCTCATATCCAGTCTGAATCTCTCGCTTCCATTTATGCCTGTGGTCTCTCTCAATTAACCCAGAGTTAATTGGTCTTTTTCATTTCCCCCATTATCATTAGAACAGAGGCTTTCTTTCTTACCTCTGAGAGCATTAATCCTGTTGCAGTCCAGTGGACTCATGCCACGCTCAAGATTACCGTATACGTTGCTTTTCACCAGCACGTCTTCAGTGAAGAGATGGCGGATCAGGTAGCGAGCTGACAGCTCCGGCCGGGACTTCCCCTTAGCCACGTAAATGACCGAGAAAGGCAGCTGGACGTTGCGCCATGGGCTTCCAAGTAGTTCTGGAAAGAAAGTCATGGAGAGAAGTATTTTACTTATTCAGTACCGACCATCCCGTAACATGGCTGTATTACACTGAAACTACAACACAGAACATTCTCCCCTCAAACTACTGTACTCAGAGAGACTGGAGCAAAACTGCAACACTGCAGCTAATTCTGAAATACAACAGATTGTAGACAGATGTTCCAGTAGCCAAAAAGCTGCCTGTTTTACAACAGTGTAATTGCACTTCTGATATGCTTTCAGCAATGCTGGCAACGTAGCCTTCATTAATGATCGCCTTCTAAATTGTTGTCCTCTCACGGGTAAGGAAGATGCTATTCCAATTACATAAATAAATAAAAGTTCCACTGTTACAATGGTGCTTACGTCCCTTAAGTGGAAACTGAACAGAGTGAATATTTTTTACAACTACTTCAGCATGACTCCACTGCAAACCAGGCGGTTTTTTGGGGGTCAGAATAGCAGTAAAAAATCTTGGGTGCAGGAGCAGATCAGTTAGAGCCCCAAAGTGATTCTAATCAAATAATACAAAGGCAACTAACAGTTCATTTTCCTTGAAGCTCTCTACAGGCATCATGTGCTGCATGTGAACTTTTTTCCATCTGATGCGTTTGTATATTGTTGTGTTTTTGTTTTTTTTTTTTTTTTAGCATAAAGGCTACCCTAAGATTTTTGTTTTCTTAAATTGTCAGTTTTACAGAAGGATGTTCTTCTGAAATTACAATTTCATTTCATTGATATTCTGAATAAGCTCACTCCATTAGAGTAGAATATCTATAAAAAAAAATAGCAAAAAAGGGACAAGTGTGAAGCAATTCCTGAAAAAGTGACAGACTGAGCAGACTATCTTACAGCTGAACTTTCTAGTCTTAAAGTGGATGTGTGTTATGGGAAATTGGTAGATGCACACATTCTGTTAGCCAGATCATACTCCTGTTTGCTCCCAAGAAGACTTACACACCAAGAGGCTAAGAGAAGAGTCACAGAGGTCAGCAAATCCCTTTATTTCACAATTTCACCTACAGTAGTATCTTCTGCTTTTCATTGACCATTTAAAAGATAACATGCATACATCCAGAGGATGACAATTTCTCAGATTACCCATGGGTTCCAAAGACTGCAGTTTCTTGACTGAAGGTGTGTGAAAAGGTTCTGGAAACTTCTCCCATCCTGAGTTCTGCAGACAGTCCGTTGTGGAAATGATCATTTTCTGAGGGTTTTGAGAACTGCCTTCACTAGTTTCGTTACAATTTAAATCTACACAAAGAGACGTATCTGGAGCGTCAGCTAATTTTTCTTTCCCGTCAGACATCTCCTGAAACAGAGAAATGAGGTTAACACGTGCACCAGGAAAAGCCTACCTGTTTTCTAATTAGCGTTTCAGTTCATTTCCCATTTAGTATAGATTAGATTCCATGTATTTACAATAGTTAGTCCTGAATCTCCATCATCACAGCTACAGGTGAAACAGATACTACATACTCATGGCTTGGCACAAAGGTTTTTAAAAGCAGAGGTGAATGGAGCTACAGGTGTTTTGGGAGTGATGCTTCAGTAAATATAAAGTCAAAATGCATAACTGGATGTATCTGATGGAAAGGCTGTGAAAACAGTGCCAGCAGCTACATGGTTAAGCTCTCAATCAGATCTGATGTTACTCCTGGGCTAAGGGAGTTGGGGTTGTTCAGCCTGGAGAAGAGAAGGCTCCAGGAAGACCTTGCAGCGGCCTTCCAGTACCTAAAGGGGGCTACAGGAAAGCTGGGGAGGGACTCCTGGTCAGGGAGTGTAGGGGTAGGACAAGGGGGAATAGCTTTAAACTAAAAGAAGATAGGTTTAGTTTAGATATAAGGAAGAAATTCTTCACTCAGAGGGAGGTGAGGCACTGGGAGAGGTTGCCCAGAGAAGCTGTGGGTGCCCCATCCCTGGAGGTGTTCAAGGCCAGGCTGGATGGGGCTTTGGGCCTGGCCTGGTGGGAGGTGTCCCTGCCCATGGCAGGGGGTTGGAATTAGATGGTCTGTAAGGTCCCTTCCAGCCCAAACCATTCTGTGATCCTATGACTTACAGAACTTTCTTTTTAGTACCCTATGTTTACATGTATCTTATTAACTGAACGCTGGACATGGGAGCTGGAAGTACAGAGGAAGGAAGAGGACTATGCTGCCAGTACACCCCATACGGAACCAGTGCTGCAGTCAGCAGAGCCCACGCTGAGCAATGCAAAGACAGAACCCAAGGAATTTCCAGTTAGAGCACCGTATGACTAGGAGTTCAAATAATTAATTTGACAAGGAAGCACAGACTTAGTACTTAATAAATTACCACCTTGAGACAACTTACTGGGTTTATTTTTGTTTCAGAGCGTAAACAGCGGATCATAGCATTGACATTTGTGATACAGGTTTTCCAGTCTTTTCCATATTCACTCAAGTCATAGTTTGGAAAGTTAGTTGCAAGAAATTCTGCATATAAAATGTAGAAAATTTTTTAAGCTTCATGACAAGAAAGCAGTATTTAAAAGTATTCTAATTTAGACAGGAGAGAAGGCTAAGAAATGTTTGATTTTTTAGGAGCTTTGTATTTCTAGCTTTTATAAAAAAGATGGTAAACTCATGTTTTGAAGGTAAGCAGCACTATGAAATTATGATGTACAGTGATATCTTTTTAATGTGTTGAGAGATATCTTTTTAATGTGATTTTATTAAGTAAATTCTGGTAGAATTAAGGGAAAGATGTAACTTAAAAAGACTGAGTAATGCTGATGCTGCAACAACTTTATACGGTTCATGAGATCTCCCAGCCTTTAAAAAGAAAGGAGGAGATGGACAGATGCATACATCTGTGCCACAGGATTTGGGGTAAATAGCTTGACAACATTAAAAAAAATAATAACAAAAGCCCTCCTCATCTTCACCATTTCTCAAACAAACAAGAAAAGTGAAATTAAGAGAGAGAGGAGTGTTTAAGAATAAGTATTATCAGGTAACAATTGTCCTGAGTATACAATGACCATTAAAAAAATAAAAATAAATAAATAAAACAAAACAAACAAAAAAACACAACATACACTCAAAGTAAGCAGTAATGAAAAATTTAGAAGCACTTCGCATAACGGATGAACATTCTAAACGGAACTAGGAGAAAGCAGAGTTTTTATCCATTTTGAACAAAAATGAACATTGAGAATCACAAAACAGGAACTTCAAACCAGCAGAGCAGAGCACATCCACAACTGCGTTTAGCAGTTGCTGGACAATACTGATCATTACTGTAGAGAAACGGACACCTATATGGTAAAATCTCTGACAAGTACCAAAGAAGAAAGTAAACCTGTGCATTTTCAGAAGTGGTATACCTCTTATTGCAGCGATTTTGTTAGGATCCAGTGTTCTGCGCCCCCGTGCGCTCACTCCCATAATGCTACACAATAAGGTCTCCTTGGGGAACAAGACCCGAACTAAGTAGCGAGCTGCGTACTTTGGTTTAGTTTTTTGCCGAGCTTTCATCAAATAGTTTCCGAGAACTTTCACGTTTCTCACCGGGTCACCAACATACTCTTTTGTGAAACAAAAACATTCAAAGAGAAGATAAAATATAATAAATTATATGAAAAAAAAATCAAGAGTCATTCAAAAAATAGTTTTTGAAATTGTTTCTTAACCTCTAAGCCAGCTCTCCACTGAAACTAATTCCCCTATATATCACTTATCTTTGCTCTTACAGAAATAAATCCACAGCTTTAAGTTGTTAACAGAACCGTCTTTTAATTTCACATTAACACTAACACAACTAACTGAAATAATAACACCCGAGAAAACATATTAAACACATAGGAGGTTAAAATGTTTGTACAAGTCTATTTTTGCACATGTACAGATTCTATACGTTTTCAAGATGACCCATGAATAATGGCACAACCATACACACTACTGCTAAATCATACATTGCTTACAGGTTTGCAGACAGGTATCTGGGTATTTCACCTACTATTCATGTAGCTCTTCAGCTGTATGAACCTGTATTTTACACCAAAAGCAACCAAAACCTCATAGTCCACACTTCCACAGAGCATTTACTCAGTGCATTTACAAAGAAATACATTATCTTTTTAAAAACTTGGTGCTATTTGATGTGTGCTTGCTTTGTATATCACAACGATGTACAGAATTCTTCATTTTCTGTGGAACACAGTATTTTGAAAGAAACCAAACACTGGAGCATTTGAGGACAGAAAGGATTTTTCACAAAACTTTCCACAAGAAGAAAACAGGTATTTTCTTCACACATATCAGGTTAAGTTGTTTCTTAAATACCCAACATCTATGCAGGCATATGCTTCAATTTTACTTGCAATTTCTTCTCTTTTAAAAAATATGCACAGTATGAATGTATTACTTATAACACGCAGGTCAAAAATAGTTTACATCAAGAGTCCTAAGAGAGAATAAAAGGTTTTAGTCTTAAAATAACCGAAAGCATGTACTCTAAATCAAAGACTTTTCTTAGTCTATACAACTGTATATACACTGCACAGAGGTTTTTAACTGATCCCCAGCATATTAAACACTCCTACAACCTTCATTTCAAGGGATTTAAACACTGTTCTATAATAAACATCTTTGTAACGGCAGCCAGTTCTGTTCCTTTACTTTTGTTAAATGATGATAAAGAGGTATTCTTTAGGCATAATTTTTTACACTAACAGCATTTTTTTAGCCTAGGTGTCTGTGTTTCTTAGAAAGGAACTCACCAAAGCTTGGGTGGATGGAGACGGAAGAAGATGGCAGTTCCTTACTAATGTTCACACTCCCAGATGTATTTCTGTAGCCCACCACCACAGGTTTATTTCCCAGGCTGGTCTCAGATGGTGCTGGCATCACTGAGGATGCCACTGAGGAAGGTGCACTGCTGACAGTACTTTCCACAACACTGGCTGAAAGATTTGATTGCGGAGGAAGGTCAGGGATGCTGTTAGCTGTTGCGAATGGTGACTGCAATGAATGTGTAGAAACTATGGTGGGGAGTGGAGGGCTCTGCCTAAGAACGGGCTGCTGCGGTTCAAGCTGCACAGTCTGTTGAACACTTTTTATTGTGGAATTGACCTGAACATGGCCGTTTTGTAAAGCGACCCTTATGACTGGGTTATGCATTCCCTGGCCTGGTGAAGAGAACTGAAGACTTGATTCCCTTTCCATGGATTTTTGTACTCTTATTCTTCCTTGGGGCAAATGACTGGAACTTCTGTATGTAAATCCAACTGGTTTCTGTAAATGTGATTCAGAAAACAATTAAATGGTTAAATTAGATATAGCTGATCTTTCGAAAACCAGGAAGACTACTTTGTAGTATTTATGCTATTGGCAATAGACTTCACAGGATCACAGCAGGGCTGAGGCTGTTGGGGCCCTCTGGGCTCCCCTGCTCCAAGCCCTGCCCAAGCAGAGACACCCAGCGCAAGCTGCCCAGGCCCAGGCCCAGGTCGTTATTGAAGATCTCCCAGGAGGAGACCCCACAGCCTCTCTGGGCAGCCTGTGCCAGGGCTCCTCACCTGCACAGCACAGAAGCGCTGCCTGCTGCTCAGAGGGAGCCTCCTGGGCTCCGGTTTGTGCCCAGTGCCTCTTGCTGGGCACCACTGAAAAGAGCCTGGCTCCATCGTTTTTGCATATGTCCCTTCAGGTATTTATACACCTGAATAATGTATAAGATCCTCCCTGAGCCTGCTCTTCTCCAGGCTGAAGAGCCTCAGCTCTCTCAGTGTCTCCTCACTGGAGAGATGCTCCAGTCCCTTAACCACTTTCATGGCCCTATGTTGGGCTCCTAATATGTCCACATCCCTACAGTACTGGGGGTTCACACTGGAAACAATACTCCAGTACACTTCACGCCTCACTGTCATGAGGCCAGTGCTATTCTTCTTCTTTCCTTTTATTCTCACTTGTACCTCAGACTCTAAGAGTTTATCTGGTCAGTTTGAGTGCTTCTCAAGTTTTCTCCACCTGGGGTGCTGGCTTTTTTTTTTCTCCTTTCTAAAAAGCCAGAGAAATATATAATGAGAAAGGCAACTTTGTGAAAGCTCGTTTTTAGCGGAAAAAAATTGGGCAAAATAAAATTAAGAGTTTTTGAACCATTGACCCAGAATTCTGGATTTTCAAGGACTGTCCAGTGCTATACTAGTTTCCTTTTAATAAAGGAAAAAGGAAACCAATTCACCTTCTCTCCTGGCTCCCTCTTCATTCTTTATTTGCTGGCTGAAAGCACTAAACATCCAGACCTTGCCCACATTGACACACTCCAAAGTGACTAAAAAGGAGAAACTGAGAGATGGGCTATGCTTTCCATCTTTTGGAGTCCTTTCATTACGAAACATATGCACCCTAAAACATATATTCTAGTTTGAAATAGAAGTCACTGATCAGGAGTTACCCAATGTACCTGATATATTCTTGTTTTGTTGTGTAAAAACAGAGGTCTGATCATATTCCACTCTTGTAACCTCGGAAAATCTATAACCTGAAGAAAGGCTTGTCTAAAAGTTTGTCCATTTCTCTGAGTATTTGAGTTGATTTAATAAAAAACTAAATTCCTTTACCACAAACCTCTCCTTATTTATATCCTTATCCCATTACAGCTATAACAATAGCACAGCTTTAAAAACCCACAGCATTCCTGATGGTTTTAAAGAGAAAATGCAAGCAGAACATAAGAAAATGGTTGGCAGCTTACATTTGCTGGCTTCTGCCTTACACCATATAATGATAAAAGTTTTCTTTAAAAAGCTGTGGAGGCTGCTTTTAATTTGAACATTAAAGCAGCTGCCTTCCCACCTGATCAGAGAGGCTAAGAAAGCAGAGGCCATGTGGTCAAACTACTGCTGATGACACCAGTTTGTTCCCCAAATCTTGTATTTTCAGTTAATTGGCCAGTATAAGCTTACAGTTGTCAGGACCATAAAAAAGCACTGCCATATAAAATATAACATCTGATTCATAAGTGACATGCATGAAAGTGTCATCATGTTTACTCACATACATTTTACTCAATGCAAATGGCTTTACTGATGTCTTGATGTCTTGACATCTTGACACCAGAATCACCTCTGCCATGTTAAAAGCTTTGTAGTATTGTTGACAAAGAAAGGTCGTTACAGATTTCACAACCTTCTTCAGAAATCACCTGTAATGTTTTTCCTTTAAGAGCATTTGTACTTAAGTATAAATATTCTGTCTCTTTAGTTAACAGCAGATTAACCATGTAAAAACAAAACAGATAACATACTCAGCATTGTGCCTTCTTAAAATTTTTGAAGAAAGGCATTTTATCAGAAATATACAATTCTGTACTGCAATATTGGAAAGGACGACACACTGCCGAGATCTAAAAATCAACTTGCTAATAGAATCAGCATGCGTTGGTTCTTTGATGCAGAAGCTCTCTTCCGCCTCTTGAAACCAGAGACAGTACACCACACCTGGTAAAGCAGTAACACCAATATAACCATATATAACATGTAACCTACACAATTCCTTCCCATTCCTTCCAATAAGGACAGACTTTATACAGCATCTATTACGGGATCCTTAATTTGACGAGGGACACTGGCAATTCTGTGACCACTAGTCAATAACAAGACAGGAGACTGAAGCTGTCATAAGAAATCTAGAACAATTTAACTGAAATGGAATCGACTAGTTTGCTACTATTTTTAGTCTTAGTGAAAGGAGAGGTTTTTCATTTTAAATAAGCATCAGAAGAAATGAGAAAATTATAAGGAAAAAAAAAATTCTCAAGTTCTTTAATACTCACAGGTTTGAGCACCAGTGGCCTCACACGCGTATGCTGCATTTCTGAAACCTTTCGATGTAGTAGGTCAAGCTTTTTATCCAGTTTCTGAATGGCATCATACATGGCCTGATAACAAATGTACAGGTTAAAACAGTATTGTTTCACAAGAACCCACCAATTTAAATCTGAAGAAATCAAGTAAATTCCATTAAAGGCAAAATTCCCTCCCTAAAATTGGGCAAGATCAGTAAATAATAAATACCTTCTTTAAGGATATTAAAATCAATGCAAATGACAATAGTAAATATCATGGTAAAAAGAATTTTCAGAGAAGCCCACTCCTGCTATTTTAACATGGCTGGCAATTACATGTTGTTCTTCCTGCTTGTGCAATGTTTTCCTTTTATCTATCGTTTGGTACATTTCATTTTACATTGAAAAGCTACTGACAACCAGTAAAGTAAGCTACGTATATACTATTTTAAGTCACAGTAAGCTCCCAGGTACAGAGGTGAAAGGCTCATAGGCAGTCACTGAAATAGGGATTTCTATATCACTAATGATATATAGATATATAGATATATCTGTATATAACGATATAACATATTTAGAACAATACTGTCTGAAAATTTAAATTCCCAAGTGGAATTCAAGTCCAGCCAAGGATGTCATCAAAGACAACAAGAAGTGCTTCTAGGACATGGGTAACAAAGGGAAGTCTAAGGAAAATGCGGGTCCGCTGCTGAATGAGATAGTGGACCTGGTTAAATGGGAGAGGAAAAAGACTGAAGCTCTGAATGCCTGCTTTGCCTCAGCCTTTACTAGCAAGACAGGCCTTCAGGAATCCCAGAGACTGGAGGTAAAGACTGGAGCAAGGAAGATTTGTCCTTGGTGGAAGAGGATGAGGTCAGGGAACACTTAAGCAAATTGGACATTTGTAAGTCCATAGGCCCTGATGGAATGTATCCATGCTGAGGGAGCTGGCAGATGTCACTGCAAGACTACTCCTGATAATTTTAAATCAATTGTGACAATTTGGAGAAGTGCCAAATGACTGGATGCAAGTAAATGTCTTCAAGAAGGGTAAGAAAAAGGACCCCAGGAACTACAGGCTACTCAGCCACACCTCAGTCCCTGGGCTGGAAACCATTTCCAGGCACATGAAGGACAGAAAAACAAAAGCAGTCGGCATCGTTTCACCACAGGGAAGTCAAGCTTGACCAACCTGATGAGCTTCTGTGATGAAATGAGCAGCCTGATGGATGAGGGGAGAGCAGCAGATATTGCCTACCTGGTCTTCAGCAAGGCCTTTGACACTGTCACCCAGAGGAGTCTCAGACAAGCTGTTGATGTGTGGGCTGGATGAGCAGCAAGGTGGATTGGAACTGGCTGAACAGTCAGGACCAGAGGGTGGTGAACAGTGGCACAAAGCCTAGCTGGAGGCCAGACTTCAGAAGTCAAAAGGAAAGAACTCACCAAAACAACACTAGCAGCACTTTGGCACATTTTTGACAAGCCTCGGGGACTTTCAAAGGCTGGGTATGTATGACTGTCAGATCTTTCCAATTATTGTAAAGCCCCTCACAATAAATCACTTCTGTATTAAAGCTTAAGATTTGAAAAGTATTCATGCCAGCTATGGTGTGAGAAGTTCAGAGTACAAAGAAAGATTATTTTTTTCATTGAAAATACAGCAGTTATGTGAAAGCCAGCAAGTGAACAACTGGAAAGGCTGAAGTCCTAGCTTATCAAATACAGATTTCAAATCTTCCTGAAGTTTACCTAAAATTGTTTCAATGCCATGGGAGGGAAGGAGAAAAAGAAATACCTGGCAATAACTGAGGACCTCCATAAGAGTTTTCTGCTGATCTCCAATGTAGGAAGCTTCGGATATAATACTCCCCTTTTTCATTAAAATAACATTAAAAAAAAAAAAAGTGTAAGCTAGCAATACACACACAATCTTGCGATAAAACATTAATGAAACAAATCCCAACTTCAAACATCATTTTAGTCTATGCCAAAATATATAGCCCCAAAGCAGTACTTACAAGTAATAAACAAAAGAAAGCGAACTTACACATTCATAATCTGGTTCATACTCATAAATGACACTGTCACTGTCTTCATATTCTCCTTCCCTGGTTCTTATCTGGGAAATAACATAAAGAACTTGTAATGTTCTGAAAAATGAAAGAATTCTGCACATAAACAACAGAGAGAACCTGTTAGGAATATTACTTGGATATTTTCAGTTGTAGCTATATTCCCTCCCTGGCTACAAAAGGGCCCAAGGAAGTGAGATTGAACAAAGGCATCTCGTTTATGTGCCTGCAGTCAGGTCATATGAATACTCACCTCATATTTGGTTTTACAGTATTGTATTCGTGTTTAAAATAAACCTCTTGCAATTTTCTATTAAAGATATGTATTGTTATTTGGTTAGACTAAGGACAGAACTTTCTCATGCAGTTACATAGGTAGTAACTACTATTATAACTTTAATAATACATAACTAGTCATATCCTGTATAACCAGCCTTATGTAATTATGAGACTCCACACACATTTTTACACTAATTTAAATAAATCTTTTTTCCCCTAATTGATTTATTTCAATGGTTATAACTCTGCACAAAAAAAAATGCTGTAAAAGTGTCTATTCACCAGCTAATAAACGTAATTTTCTTGCTTGAAAGGAGTTGCATGAAATGTCCTTTTAGATGGGAATCAACAGTGCCACCACCTGGACAACGTTAATGTTTTTACTTTAGTGGATAGGAGTAGTTCCTGTCCACCATACAGGATAGATTTTGAGTCTGTTTTTACAAAACAGAAACAAACAACAAAAAAGACATCAAAAAGAAATGAAGAAAAAAAAAAACACTTTAAGACATATTTGATTGGGGATAACTGTGAAAGAGGGAATTATAGTCTTTACGAGAGGTAGTTTAAGAGAAGGTGCACTGTTAATCATTAGACAAACCAACTCCGAAAATTTCAGGAATTATCCTCTGTACGGTGACATGAACAAAATTTCAGACCTGCCTCAAGATAAAAATATATGTAATCTGTCTTTGATCAGAACCTGTCATCAGCTCATGAGTACAATCCTTTATCCAACAACATTAAGATCCAACTCTATTTAATCCTAAACTGCACAAATATTTTACTGCAAAATAAGAGGATGTACATGGAAAATAAGTTGCTCTCTTGTGTAGACTACTTGTTACTCTACATAAGTACAATATCAAGCATAAGGTTTTACCCTTGCTAGAAGCTTCCAGATACACTATGGACATATCCTACCTACCCACGCTTCATCAAAATGTCATCAGATGAGCATAGAAAAGTGAAGGAAAAACGGCATTTCCGATGACACTGAAACTGTTGAGAAAACAAGGGGCTACTGTTTGGCTACACATACCACATTCTGTCCCACTAGAGTGGGGGCAAGCCGTTTTCTTTTATTATGCAAAAACACAAAATCCATTTTTTCAGGCGTGTGACCATTTCCTCTCTGCATGCTTGCAGAATGGCTCATTTGTGATGGCACTCGTTCAGTCAGGACTGATAAGCCTCCGCTTCCTGGAAAGTGAAGAGAAAGCAAAGCACATCAGTGGGTTTCTCCCATTGATTTAGACCTTTGACTATAAAAACATGTACAGCCGCTTTTTAGAAAACAAACAAACAAACAGAGAACAATCACCACTTTCAAACTGCTTTTGGTTATTTGAGATTTATTTACTAGCATGTTATTAAACGCTTATTATTCCAGTTTATTTCGATCTTAAATTGATAAATTCAATTTAATATTTTCTTCCAAATTCATTGGTGGAGCTGGACAATAGGCCATTGCCACTCTTTAAAAGCACAAATAACCCCAGCAGTTTAGTACAGCCTAAAAAACAGTTTACTCTATGGTCAGAGAATATCGAGGCTCCAAGCACATAGTAACACAAGTACAAGTTAAGCCAGGTCAGAGAGAAGCAAGCTCTAAGGATGATCACCGTGAGAGGACATTTAGATGGTATTCCCCTCTCTTCTGCTGCCAAGAGATTGCAGAGACCCACCGAAAGAGGTTTGGAAAAGAGTCACTGCAGTTTTAAGGGAGCCAGCTGCCCATCCCTGGGAGGATGTCCATGCCTCGCCCAAGAGGAGGACTCCAGACAATCACTTACGTGCTAACAAGCCCAGCACCCACGCCTGGGAGGGATGGACTGCTCCAGCAGCCTGATAACCACGTTATCAATTGCTAACAATTGGCACCAGGGAGAGGTGGCTCTTGGTGGAGCCTGCCTAGTGGCAGAAGCGGGGGTGGGAACCAACTGCAGCCAGCTAGCTTTCCATCGAAAGGAATGTTCTTTTAGCTGGGATTAACTTCTTAGCCAGACCTCTCAAATCTCAAGAAGTAATGATTTTACCACCATGCTAGAATATAACGGCCACTGAAAACAAAACAAACAAAAGAACCAGCCCAACAACCAGTTTGCCACTCTTCCCTCCTAATTCTTTGCAATCCCACACAATTGCCAGACCTACCTTTTGAAGGATATTAAAGAATTTCCATATTTCGTATTGCAAAAATCTCGCTGTCCATCATTACGTGTTTCTACCTCAAACTTTCAGGAAAGAGCTGCGGCAACACTCTTAAGAGGAAACAATTTCTCCCTGATTTCTGTATATTTTAGATACAGACAGAACCTAGCACTATGCAGATAGCACTTGTAGAAGAGAGGATATTGAAAGTGGAAGAAAGCTGGAGAAGCTATGAAAGACCTTGGTAGGTTCTGAAGAAATAAGGAGAAAAAAAACCTCAGCTGGCATAAGAAGTCTCTGCCTTTCTATCTGCTGTGCAGTAGCGTTTTGGAGCTTAGGGTGAACCTAAAAAGCATGGTAGGGTGTTTGTTCTGTGGTACGGGGCAGCAGGATAAATGCTCTAGCACAATGTGCTCCCTCAAACTCCAGATGCTTTCTGCTGTCAAAGGAGAACGCCACTTCACCTGGAGAAACATTAGCTAACTGGTTTCATTACATTTAAAACTCATTACACTTCTGTTAAACTAACCAGATTCCCAACTAACTTCCCAAATATAGATTTAAGAATATGATAACATTAAAAAAAAAAAAAGTGATACCAAGTTACCAAGTTTGTGGACATAAATGGATAAATAAAAAGCATAATAGTTGTGCTCTGGCAGCAAGCAGGGAGGAATAAAGACCTATATCTGTGTCTCAGCGATGTTGAGCTTGCTCTGCCAGCTAAGTATCTGTAGGTGAGAAGATTGGAGACAAAAAATAAGAGAAAAGTTTTGGACAGACAGAACCAAATCTGGTGAAAAGGCGCTGCTCTACAAGATACCAACCTAAGGTGGTGGCTGAGTAAGTGGCTGGTTTGGAAAGAACCTTATGGATCACCTAATTCCAAACCACCTGCCCTGGGCAGGGACACCTCCCACCAGAGCAGGCTGCCCAAAGCCCCATCCAGCCTGGTCTTGAGCACCTCCAGGGATGGGGCATCCACAGCTTCTCTGGGCAGCCTGTGCCAGGGCCTCACCGCCCTCTGAGTAAAGAATTTCTTCCTTATATCTAAACTAAATCTATCCTCTTTTAGTTTAAAGCTGTTATTCCTTGTCCTATCCCCAAACTCCCTGACGAAGTGTCCCTCCCCGGCTTTCCTGTAGCCCCCTTTAGGTACTGGCAGGCCACTGTAAGGTCTCCCTGAAGCCTTCTCTTCTCCAGGCTGAACAACCCCAACTTCCCTCAGCCTGTCCCCACAGGAGAGGCGCTCCAGCCCTCTGATCATCCTCGTGGCCTCCTCTGGACTCATTCTAATACATCCATGTCCTTCTTGTACTGGGGGCCCCAGAGCTGGATGCAGTGCTCCAGGTGGGGTCTCAGGAGAGCAGAGCAGAGGGCGAGAATCACCTCCTCGAACTGCTGGCAACACTTCTTGTCCATGGGGGGGTGAAGTGATTCTGTAAGGGCACCTTAGTCTTTGGGGGAATCGTCTTCCTCCTGCTGGTCCTTGTCATTGGCAGCTTCTACTCTCTGGCTTTATTGGTCCCCCTCCCATCTGTGAGGTCCTGTGAGGGAGTTTCGGGCTGTGCATCCCCTGCAGACTGTGCTGGGATCCAGCTGTCTAACTCCTCAGCCTCCCTGATGCTACGCAGACAACCTATACAAACAACGCTATAGCTTCTGAATAAAATCTGCTTTAAAGATGGGTAACACAGAAAGCATTAAAGGCAGAAGCACTGAACATACAGCATTAAAATTAGCCACTAACTATGAGATCACCAAAGAAAACGAAGTGCAATTACCATACGCGAGTTGAGGCACGTGGTGAACATTAATGTTTACTTCAGAGTTTTGTTCCATTGACACGCAGCTTTGTGTGGACAGTCCATTTTCTCCATCTTCTGCCTCAGAATTGTCAATAATCACTGCTTCAACATCATCCTCAACGTTCACGGGGTCATAATCTATTCGTGTCAGCAGAAAGAGAAGCAGGTTAAGACTAGACACTATTCTGCATATCAGATGAAAACTGTAATACTCTTATCGTGCCTAGCATTATCTCAATTCCACCACAGGCGAATTTTAGAGCAGTTTCACTTTAACATTTAAATATGAGGTCACTTCAACACGTGTACTGAGGTTTTAACACATGCTAGAAGGGAAATGGCTTGCTATTGCTTAGTTGGCAGGACTCCTAAAAGCACCTAACCCCGCCTGCAGCGCCCAGCTCCAACAGGACCAGTTCCAGGGCAGTAACAAGCACTCCTGAAAACCCCATTTCCATTCAAACACCCAACAAGACACACTGATTTGTTTTCGAAATTTTACTTCCGTAAACAAGAAATACTTAGTACACTCGAAACAAACCAGCCTACAAATCCTAACTGCATATTTGGTATTCAGATCCACCCAAGCACTGGCTCTCAGTGCGATGCTGTAGAGAAACACTGAATGGGCAATCTCCAGTGCTGTGTTTTTTTTTTGTTTGTTTTGTTTTTTTTTCCAATTAACTGTATCAGGTCAAGAAAAAAGTGTCCTGGTTTCAGAACAACTATTAGAGCTACTACAGCTAGATTTTTTTGATACAGCATTTGGAGGAGGGCAAGGAAGGGAGAGGAATTTATCCTTGATGAAAGAAATTAATGGAAGGAATCATATAGTGAGGCACTAGGCTGAATTAGAAAATACAGCTTAATTCAGCCAGCACACACACGATGACACGTATGTCATCTTTTCCACAGGATCCCTGCCCCATTCGGTGTACAAAATGGGATGAGCTCTGGGGATGAATCAGGGCTGTATGAGTTTAACAGTGGCCTGCTTCTTTACTCTCGTACAAAGAGTTCACTCCCAATCCTGCTCCCTTCCCTCTGTTCCAATTTCTCAAGAGCCTAACAGGTGAGAAATAAACTGGATCTACAGGTGAGAGTCTTCACTCTGGCCAGTACTCCTGTTTAATCCAGAAGAAACAACACAGAAGGGTTTGGATTTGATTGTCATCAGGTTAGGAAACACTACTTCACCCAATTACGGGTATATGCAGAGATGCCCATCAATCACCATGCAGCCAACAGCTACGTTTATAGCAATAAATGAGGCTGAAAATCCAGTAGCCCTGCAAGAGGGAGCTTAGTTGAGCAGACATGAGCTGGGATACGCTGCTTTGGCTCCAAGTCAGAGCATGGTTCCTGGCCAGTTTTAAATTGCTGTATAGAATAAGGAACGAGGAGCCAGCACGTGGCAAAGACAAAGCAGGTCCATCTGGAATAAAGGATGGAGAGTGTTATCAGATGTCGGGAGTGTTACTACAAGTGGTTGACAGTAAAAGTCAAAGCTCAGTCTTCCATGCCCTCTACCAGCCTTCCTTAAACAAGTATAAAAATCAGCATCTCCACAGCATAGTGAATTCCAGACAGAAAGTTTCCAAAATCTGCAGTTACAGAAGTTTTGAGCTAGAGGATGACTAGAGAATGAACATAAACCAAACAGGGAGACACCCCACTTTCAAAAAAAATATATTACATTTCTACAATGATGTAGCACCAAAAAAAAGCACCAGTCTCTCAAAACCTTTAATCCCCAAGAAAGAGGCCAGGATCCTCTTCTTATCTGGGACTTTTAACTTCATCACCTGCTGCTCAGCACTCAAAGGGAAATCATTTCCTCTTCAGAATAGCACTCTTACCTGGACAACCAGGTAATACTGAAATTAGCACACACGACCCATTGCCATTAACATTTACCAACGTGGCTGGTCATCTTAGCTCTATAACATAAAGAAAGCTGCTCCAAGAAACAGACCCACCTGCTTCATACCACTTCTTCCTTCTCCTAATGCATTCTATTTTTTTTTTGTCTATGAGGTCAGTGGCCAAATTTAAATGTCTTTGCTGCAAATTGCCTACGTTCATCACAAGGTGAATGTCTGTGCTCAGAAATATTTCACTTACGCTGCCTAAAATACTTGTCAGTTAATACTAGCTACTAAAAAAGGGTGCAGGGGAAGTAGTTCTCATCTTGTGGTCCAATATATAACTTACTCAGGCAAGTTATTCAACTTTTTAATGTCGCTCCTGTAGCCACATGTTCCCAACTACAATCTTTATAACTTTGAAAATTTGTTACAGAAGAACTCCGGCTATTTACCCGTAAACTTGAAGAAACCGAAACTCATTCCTGTAAGCAATTCTGAGTACTTCTGATGCTTCTAGGAAGTGCTAGCAATACGGGGTAATGGTATAGATATAGCGCTGACCAATATGAAATATGTATCTGTCTCTCTCAAGTAGAAACCACAAACTGCCAGACTCTGTAATTAACTTGTGCTCCTAAAAAAAAGGACAGTAAAGTAAACCCATTAAGACACTATTTTTTTTCTTGTGACTTGAATGAAGATGCAACTGCATTTCTTGGAGCAATGGGAGTTAACAACCTCCCTGCACTAATTAGCTCCCCTGGCACAAAATATCATGACACAGGTATTTAGAAGTTTCCAGTGAGTCTTTAAATCAATTTAGAAATGAAGAATAAGTGTGATTGAGAAAATATTTAGGTTTATATATTTCAAATAAGGGCTTTACTGTGAATTACACGCTACAGTAAGATTTACTAAACAGGCTGTTTTGTCCAATGATTGCAACAAGCTATATGTTTAAGAGCCTTGTGAATTTCTGTTTGAAAACTGAAGTGACAATCGTTCTAAATTTAGAAAGCATCAGCCAGCTAATTTCCTGCTCAGACTCAATGAGTGCTCTGAGTTACATGAGTTGTTATTTTCAGCCAGGCACTAGGATGTGCTACATCAGAGGGTAGATGCTGACAAGAATCGTGCTGTGCAGGAAGGCAGCTGGAGAGCAGGGCTTTGAAATGACGAAGTTAGAAATCCAAGACTGGAGGTGCTCCTTTGAACCGAAAAATGGCTTATGCTCACTATTCGGGATTTGTCCAACGTTGTTTTAACAGGAGCTTTTTGTTGCTTCTGCACAAAATCATCAGGTAAGCAGGTCTTTGCAGAAAGCCAAAGATACTGAACTTGAGCCCAGTTTTCATAACGATTTATATGCAAGAATGTCCAACTGTGTGTCTAACTCTGCATCAGAAGTTACACAGCCACATTAAGCTACTGCTTTTACACAGCAAAGTAAAGATCAAGCCTCAGAAAGATTTTATTCTCAGTAACTGAAGAGAAGTATGTTTATAAATCATTGTGACTTCAATATTCTGGCACCCACTGACTGCTTATATGTTGATCAAATGACACAGACTCCAAAGATCAGATTTTCAAGTACTGCTCCTTTACCTATCCCCAAACCACAGCACGGCAGTATAGGCTTTGGGGTAGAGAGCTGAACATGGAAAAATGTGAAACAAGTAACAATGAAAGATGAACAGAACCAAACTGCAATATTTATTTTTTTTAAGCACACTTAGAAATCGAAAGATGTTGATACAAACATCAAGATTTTTTTTTTTAAAATACATTTTGAAGGCTTTCAAAATAAGCCTGCTGCAGAGACACTACTCTGGAAGTTACTACTGAAAGGCTGACCCCACATGCAAAACTGAGAAGTTTCCATGGCCTATTTTTTCTTAGTGTAAGGCTCCATTCACAGCTCTCCATTTCACTTCTTCAAACATGTGAGATAGATTTTCCAGTTTTCCTGAGTGAATATATTTTGTGAGCATTTGGGGGGGGGAGGGGGGGGTGGACATCCATTCCTCAAAGAAACTGAAGGATAAACAAATTTCAAGTTGTCAAAGTCATATATATGGTACAACTCCTTACTTCAAAAACTATAATCCCTGAATGCTTCTGAAAAGAATTCTTTGCTGAGGAGAACTAGTTAGCTTAAATTAGGGATATACCTGCTGCTATCCTAAAAAATGAACCTACCAAGTCATAAAAAAAAGAGAAGTCAAAGCATGCAGATGACCAATTAACACCACCTTAATATGTATTCAGTAAGATTTCCAAATTCTCTAATGCATTTTGAACATACTATTAGACTCCTGGGATGATTTCTTCTGCCTGCCAGGGATCACTCAACCAAAACTGTCCAGAAGTGATCCCTTCCCCGCACTCTTCTCTGTGTCCAGAAGACAACACTTGATAGGAACCCAAGTGCAAGGGTGGGAGAGGAACTCTCAAGCAGCGGGGACATAACAGACAAGGCGAACTGGTGGAGACAAAAAGGAAAGAAAAAAAAAAAAACGCAAAAACAAAGAAACAAAACTGTAGCACTACAAACTACATCCCAATGTAAAAGCAAAGCAACTCTAGCTCAGTGAAAAGAAAGATACATACCAAGAAACTTACCTGAATTTAAGTCACAAAAGGAGAACCTGCTAGCATTACCTGGGACCACATCTATCTAGATCCTGGCCTATTTGTGGCACAATGTTTATGCCAATACAAAAAAGAGTGAGCTAACACAACGAACAGGATGGGGACAACAGTGCCATAATGTCTTCCAGTGGTAGCATCATGTTATCCCGGCTTCAAGTAAACATTTGCACACTGACACTGTCTCATTGCAAATATAACAGTTTTAACCACATTTCTGCATGCTATTATGCTCAAAGCTGTGAGCAGGGAAGTGCAACCAGAACTGATACATCAGCTGAAGTCAGAAGACAAGCTGACAGACTACTTTTCCTTCCCTGAGCACGTTACTAATTAAATACACCACATATGCCTGTGGGATAAGGAGGGGCTTGTACTGAGTCAGACTTTACTTGCTGAATGCTCTCATTTATTGCAGAAACAGGAGTGTAGGTAATCATAAGTTAAACCTGTACAGAGAGGTAGGTGACCCAAGAGCTGAGGAGGCTGTAAGCAATGGGCAGTGATGAATCATATCCCAACCTCTACAGCAGAGCTTCTACTGGCAACGTCACCAGAGCTAAACCATACTTTTCACAGGACGCCAGCATTTGTTCTTCATTCCCTAAGCATTTAGTTAAATGCATCTCTGTAATCTGCAAACGTGATCCCCATACTCCCAGCTGTAACTGAGAGCACTGGGAGACATACATAAGACAAGGTAAGTTTTATAAAGATGCTTTCTGCTGCACTCAGGAAAACTGGGTACCATCCACCTTGATGCATCCTTAAATTCAATATACTTCTGATAATTCTGTCCTGAGTCTGGATAGTTCCTGCCCTGTAGCAGCTGATCAGAAACACCAGAAGACTTCCAAAGATACTAGATACTCGTCAAGTCTCTGAACGCTGAAACAACTGCTAACTTAGAACGCAGGAGCCAGAATCTGTGCAACTGAAATTTGCAACGAAATTAAGACAGTGGAATCGTACATTGAGCAAGCATAGAACAATCATTATGGTGAAGGGAATAATGAAGCCAGGTTTCCCAGGGCTTTAAGTTTCACGTTCAGGTTACCAAGATGCTGGTAAGTAAAACTCAGGGGGAAACAGGCCCCACAAAGAGGCCTCTGATGTTGAGTCAGATTTGATCTATATGTTTAACTGAGGAATATTATTAATGGCACTTCTATCCCACTGCCGAGGGATTTAGAGCAGTTTTTATATTAACGATTGCTGAGTTCGAGCAAAAACCAGTCAGGAGTCTGAAAAAACTGAGGACAAAGCAGGCTGCACTGACACCCACCACATGACACTGCGTGTTTGCCCCGTCAGTGTACCAGGACTGCCGTGCCCCCTCAGCACCCTACATCTAGGCAGCACCCTTTGATTGGTGCCTGTATGTATAATGGCAGAGCGCACTGACCAACGCCTCAGTTCACCAAAAGCAGCTCCAGAAGAGACCAGGGCTGACACCTGCTCCAACGCCACCCCGGGGAGGCCCGTGGTACACTTGCACGACACCCTCTGCCTCCCCACGGCAGGATCAGGGTGCGGGGGACCCTCCAGCAGCTCCACACTCCTTTTTTTTGCCGTTTTGGGGACCCCCTGAGAGCTGTGGCAGCGCACCCTCCCCTCCCGGCGCCTCACCACCACCTGAGGGGCACCCGAGCCCCCCCACCCCCGCCCCCGCCCTCGCCGCCGACGGGCAGCAGCGCCAGCCAATCGCCGCGCCCCGCCGCTCCGCCGCCGACCAATGGGAGCGCGCGGTGGGCGTGGCCCGGCGCCGAGCGTTGGGGCCGTTGCGAACGTTGAGGGAGCGTTTCCCCGCGCGCCGCCGGCTCGCGCCTCCACCCCCCCCCCCGCCTCCCGCCTCCCGCCTCCCCTCGCCCCCTTCCTCCCCCTCATGGCCGCCGGCCCCGCACCTACCCGACATGGCGGCGGAGCCAGCCGGGGCTCGGGCTCGGGCTCGGGCTCGGGCAGGGGCAGGTGTGGCCGGAATGCGGCGTTGGGGACGGAAGCGGCTGGCGTGAGGCGAGCGGCGGCGGCTGTCGGCGGGCAGTGCGGCTGCGCGACGCGCCCGGCAAACGGGAGCAGGGCGGGCGGGGCCGCCGCCGCCTCCTGCCTCCTGCCGCCTCTGCTCGGCCGCCCGCAGGGACCGGGGGGGAGTGTTGGCTCTGAATCCTTTTCTGTATGCCAACGACTCGCACCAGTGTCACCCACTGAGCCGTGTCCCCAAGCACCATGTCCAGCCTTACGCGTATCAGTCTCCGGTGGTCCCTCTGGGGGTCTCTGGTGCTGAAGGCTCATGGTCTTCCTCCCTCTTGTCCAACTTGGCTGTATGTCAGAGACTTGTGCAGCGTCCCCTGCAAGCTTTGTCTTTTAGTTGTTCTTCAGCTCTCCCCGTCTCCTTAATCTCCTGCCCAGATATCAGAGACTTGCATAATGTCCCACGCAATAGTCATTATAGTTAGCAGTTATTCTGAAACCCCCCAGATACCAGAGACTTCAAGGAAAAGTCTACAAATACATTTCCCTCCAAGCTCTCTATTGACACGAATTGCTAAAGCATTCCTTTGCAAGATACAAGAACTATATACATTAACCACTCTGTTTTTCTTAGACTTGTGGTTATACAAGGGTCTGTAGGACAGAAGGTCGCATTCATCACACCATGCGGCCCTAGCATTGTTCCATACTGACATGAATCAGATGAACACATTCCACAAATGTCTCCTCATTTCCAACCTGAACCTCCCTGGGTGCAACTTGAGGCCATTCCCTCCAGTCCTGTCACTAGTTCCCTGTGAGAAGAGGCCGACCCCCAGCTCTCCACACCTTCCTTCCAGATACCTGCAGAGAGCAATGAGGTCTCCCCTGAGCCTCCTCCTCCCCAGAATAAACACCCCCAGCTCCCTCAGCCGCTCCTCACAGGACTTGTGCTCCAGGCCCTTCACCAGCTCCATAGCCCTTCTCAGTGGAGTACAGGAGCACGAGGGTAGGTGGGAACCTGAGTAGGTGAAGCACCCTGCTTGGGCCCCTTCCAGGGCTGTCCCATCATTGCCCCATCCCCAGCAGCCAGGTGTGGAACCCATCCCCATGAGCCACCACCAGAGGAGCTTTGGACTGGGGGTTGATGCCTAGGGGTATGGGACACGCTATGGGATACCCATGAGGGATTGCACAAGACAATTTAGCATTAGGGGAGGAACCAACAGCAAGGGAAGAGAGAGATTTAGGCAACTGGGGAAACTGGGATCCATGGGGCAGACTGGGCGTGAGCCCTGCTGCTGGAAGGATCCCCACAGTACCCATGCTTATATATATATATATATATATGGATACACCAGTGAACTCCAACCTACTCAGGCATAGAGAAGCAGGATGAGTGCTTCTCATGGGTGCTGTCTGTTTGGGTGGGGGCTGTTTGTGTGCTGTGGGGTTGGCTGCAGGTATGCCTACGTTTGTGGTGTGTATGTGCTCTGCGTGCATGTCAGGGGAATGTGCCTTCAGCCTCGCTACTGGTTGAACTCATGGCTGTGAAGCTACAGCAGCTTTGCCTCTCCTGGGCTCTTGGATCCAGCACGATGTATTTTCCTCTAGCATACATTCTGTATTTAAAGCTTAGAGCATACATCTGAAAGATTCCGGGCAGAAGGAACTAGAAAAGATTGAAAAGCTGTTACCCATATTGGTGAGAAAGGTAGAATGATGATATAGCGTGCAGTTAGTTGCTTATCTCTGAGAAAGCTTGTGTAAGAGTTAGGTACATATAAAAGGACTATTTATAGACTTTACCTTATTTCCTCATAAGCGTTTTGAGAGAATCTGAAGGATTAGTCAATGCTTCCTTTATTCCTTCCTGATCTTTATTAGGATTTAAAAGCCTGTTTTCTCTTTGACATTGATAGCCAGACCATCATCTACAAGCCCCATCTTGAATCACATCAACGTGGTACATCCAGTTTCTTATGCAAGCGATTCTTCACCAAAACATGTCAGATTTCCTGCTGCTTTTCAATTCAAGTACGGGGCTGGAAGAGCACTGGGTAAGCCAAGAGCTTAGTTTTCCCAGAAAGCTTGAGGTGGCAGGAGAATGCCCAAGTGATAGGGAGTCCAGCTGTTTTCAAGATAAGCTTTTATCTTCCTCGTTTGTTTTTCTGGTGTTTTATTTGTTTGTTTTTGTAGTTGTTTTTAATGATAGGGCAACAATTTGTATGTGTATAAGGAAGGAGTCGCTGAAAAGAACAATTTGGGAAGAGGAATATCTTGGAAGTCCACGGAGGCTGAATAGGAAACTGAGACACATACTGCTGACTGTGGAAAGGAAGTGCTCGGGACAAGGATAAAGAAGTGTTGGCTTTCGAAGGAAACAGACTGAAAAAGTTTGTACAAATATCTGATTTCTGTACTCTTGTGGGACAAAGGTATTTGGAGGAGCTAACAAGACAGATATTTGAGGAAGGGGTAAGATGAACCCAATCTTTAGGAAGTGAAGTTAATTAGAAAGTATTATCCGATACACTAGAGGCCAAACATTTCTGAGTTACACCATGTGATTTTAGAAAACTTTGTCTTGAGATAAAAAGTGGTAGACATTCCACAGTGGTAGACATAGACAAATACTGTTTCAGTGGCTTGCTAATCATGTAGAAGAAATGATGGATTTGAAAAGAAAACTGAAAGAGGTGGAGGTAGGCAGGAGATTGTTATAAGGAAAGGAGTCAGCTAATAGTTAATACGTTTGAATGTGGAATCATAGTTTCGGAAGGAGTGAGAAAACCTGATCTACAAGGCCTTTGTTTTTCTTGGATCAGTTTTCACATAAACTTTCCTGGAACTAATTTGTTGGCCATCTTTTCTGGTACTTAAATTTTGACTTAATTGGATCCAATGACTCTAAGCGTATCTACTTTATCTGCTTCTGAAAGGTCTTAATTTGATTAAAACTTGGTATTTTATATTGCTGGATATTTCAAATGACAAGCGAAGATCTGGACTAACTCCAGTTACGCGTTGGTCTTCATAGACCCCAGAACTTGTTTTGTGCATTGATTTGACAAAAGTACCAGAAATGACAGCCTAAATTTATATGTTTAGGGTTTGCTTGATGGTTCAGCTGGCTTTGTAAAATGAAATGCATAGAAACAGATTGCAGTATTAGGATATTATGGTTTGGCATCAGTAGTTAGAGGGTGTGGTCTATATTTCATTCGCGTTGCTTTGGATCAGCCCTTAAATTATCTACAAAAAAAAAAAAAAAAAGAAAGGAAAAAAGAAAACAGTGAAAGCATGAAGCCCGAGAAAAGACTCCAGATAATCCGGTTTTGAAGCTCTAACATTCTTAAATGGTAATAAAGCCACTTGTTGTCATTGCTCATGATGATGAAATTATGTAAGGCTTGTCCATCTGCTGTTGAGTAAGCTTTTAAAGAACACCTGAAGGAGGTACTTTTTAAGAGGACAGCATTCCTGTTAAAGAGTGAACCCTAAATACTGGCAATAACATTGCAGTTCTGTGCCAGCCTTTTAAATGTGTAAATAAACTTGAGTGATCAGGAACTGAATTCCTTCAGATTTTGACTGTCATTTACTCACAGAGATGTTTTTATCTGATGATTTCTTTTTTCCAGCTTTGGAGGCTTGTGATAGGTTTGAGCCACCTGACCTAGATTCAGTGTGACTGGTTACCCAAGTGACCAAGCCACGGGTTCAGTGATGTTACTTGCGCAATTTTCTCAGTCTCGGTGAAAACCATAGTGTGAATTTCCACAGGAAGCTCATTGGATGATTGGTGTCTTTTTTTTTTTTTTTTTTTTTTTTTTTTTTTTTTGTAATGCATGATTTTGAGTAATAAAATAAAGTGGAAACAGCCTAACACCAGATCAAAACTATTGCAAAACCATTATTAAAGGGCAAGGCATCTCTTATTTGTTCACGTACTGTTGCCAAGAAAGCCTGTTTTCCTGCTATATGAGTACCTCGCTGTTGCTGCTAGGCATGGAGAGCAGTGTCTTAGCATGAACAGTCTGAACTGACCTATGAGTTGATCAAGAAATGGCATTTCCTTGGCCTTTGTTATTTTTCTCTTGGGGCTGAAGGAGCAGTTCCTGCCTCTCCCCTTGCTCCGGCTGGAGATGACTGAATAAAAAGGGAGCTGTGGATGCAGTTTCTTCCTCACGGGAATAGTTTATGGTTTGCAGCTTTAATGTGAAATGACAATAGTAAGAATAGTAACATACTATCTGGATAAAGTTCTGTTAAAAAAAAAAATAGATAGCCATCTATCCAGAGTGAAAATTAATAAAAGCTGCTGTATCTATTCCTAGCACTGTCACTACCACTGCTGTTCTGTGCATCTTTTGAATTTAACATTTGAATAAACAGAAAACTTCATTGAGAATGCCTGTCCCTTTTATAGGATAAAATTGCTTTAACATTCATAGTGGTTTTGTGATTTTCCAACTCTGGGGTAGTTTAAATGTCAATGCAGGTGAATCAAGTGGGAAGGTCTGTCTTTAGCTGCTTGCCTGTTTTGTTATCCTGACCTTGAGCCTCTGTTGGAGGATGTGGATTCATCATGAATACTCTTCCCCCGTTTTCTGTTGCAGGAGTATATCCAGATGATATGATATGAAACCTCTCCCATTCATACTGAGGTAACTGAAGACATCATCAGTCAGCAGAGCTGGATAACCTGTGTGCAACAACTCACAGAATCACAGAATTTCTAGGTTGGAAGAGACCTCCAAGATCATTGAGTCCAACCTCTGACCTAACTAACACTAACCAGTCCTCCACTAAACCATATCACTGAGCCCTACATCTAAACGTCTTTTAAAGACCCCCAGGGATGGTGACTCCACCACTTCCCTGGGCAGCCTGTTCCAATGTCTAACAACCTTTTCGGTGAAGAAGTTCTTCCTAATATCCAACCTAAACCTCCCATGGCACAAGTTTAGCCCATTTCCCCTCATCCTGTCGCCAGGAATGTGGAAGAACAGACCAATCCCCACCTCACTACAGCCTCCTTTAAGGTACCTGTAGACAGCAATAAGTTCACCCCTGAGCCT